CCCCCCCCCCCCCCCCCCCCCCCGAGCAGAACCAGCTGAACAACCCCAAAGTGAATCTCCTGTCAAGAGAAAATGGTCGCTGCTTGGTCTCGTTGCCGCGCTTGCTGTGGGAATACTTTGGTTCTTTCATACTCCTGCAGTGGAAACCACTGCTATTCAGGAATTCCAGAACCAGATGAAACAACTTCAGTCTAAGTACCAGAGTCAAGATGAGAAGCTGTGGAAAAGAGGCACAACATTCCTAGAGAGACATCTAAATAGCTCTGTCCCTCGACCCCAGCCTGCCATCCTGCTGCTCACTGCAGCCCAAGATGCTGAAGAAGTGCTCAAGTGTCTGAGTGAACAAATTGCCGATGCCTATTCTTCCTTCCGTAGTGTCCCTGCCATCCGGATTGATGGGGCTGGTAAAGCTGCTCAAGATAGTGACCTCGTCAAAAAAGAAGTAGATCAAGAACTGACCGAGGGATTCAAAAATGGCCAGAATGCAGCTGTTGTACACCGCTTTGAATCCCTGCCCGCAGGCTCGACCTTGATCTTCTATAAATACTGCGACCATGAAAATGCGGCCTTCAAAGATGTAGCCCTAGTCCTGACCGTGTTGTTGGAGGAGAAGACACTGAAAGCCAGTCTAGGCCTAAAGGAAATTGAAGAGAAAGTGCGGGATTTCCTCAAAGTTAAGTTCACCAGCTCTGACACGGCCAGCTCCTACAACCACATGGACCCAGACAAGCTGAACGGGCTCTGGAGCCGCATTTCCCACCTGGTGCTGCCGGTGCAGCCTGAAAGCGCCCTGAAAGGGGGCAGCTGCTTATGAGCAAGAAAAGCGGAAATCCTGTCTCAAGTTTAAGCACTTTTCAGACAGTGTAACCAGAGACAGAATTTGGAACCATTTTTGAAAACTGGTTTCTTTTTAAAGGACGTTAAAGTTCATACATAAAGGTGGAATATCTAAATCATTTATGCAGCCTAATTATCTGTGACTTAAGAGAATCATTTCTGTTTCCACTGAGAACAATGTTAAGGGTGTTTAGCGTAGTCTAAAGTATATGCAATTCCCCAAGGATCTGCTTTCATTCTGGCTGAATCATTCTTGCTGTGGTGTGACCAGTGAGAAGGACCTAGGATCCTTTCTCAAAGAACCAGCTTTATATTTAACTTTGGATTTTTTTTGTTTGAGACCTTATTAGTCTGACAGCTCTCTAATTGCAGCAGTGGGTTTCCCCATTACTTTTTCTTTTATACCATTTAAGTGTGGGGTTCTTAGCATCTACCTATAAAAACAAAGTCATGAAAGATCATGTGGGTGTGTGGTTTAGCCAGCCCTACCCCCACCCCTATTTTAGAGAGGGGAGAAGAAAATTGTTTAACAGAAAAGGAAAGGGGGAAAAAAAAGGATAGCTGCAAGCTGGGCATGGTGAGACATGCCTATAATCCCAGCGTTTTCTTAGGGTAGTCAGGAGGTTCAGAAGTTCAAGGCCAGCCTTATCTATATAGTGAGTTTTCTGACACCCAGGACTACAGTGAGAAACTGTCTTAAAAAAATAATAATTTTAAGAAGTTTCAAAATGAAGTGTTAATTAAAAAAAAAAAAAAAGTGACAAGCCTCTGAGAGGTGGGTTGCTCAGACGTGTCTAGCTATTACCTCAGTGAACTGTTACAATTTGCTTTTAACTAATGTCTTTTTTACCACTTAAAGAAGTTCTTTAGTTCAAATACTCAGTTGTAGAGTATTTGCCCAGCTTGTGTGATCCCCTGGGTTCAGTGACCAGCATTCCACATACCTGTAATCTCAGCGCTCATGAAATTGAGGTTGTTGCATCTTGAATTCAAAGCCAGCCTGGAAAATATAATAATGTCCCCCACTCCCCAGGAAAAACGAGTTCCATGGTCCAAGATTTTTAAAGCCTGTATGTTATACAGTTTATTTCCTTATTTAACTCTTAACAATTTTAAAGGTAGGTACATTGAAAGGAGTCTCTTTTTGATAACACTTCACAGTTTTGTTTTAAAGAAATAGTTTCCAGCACAATCACAATTTAATGGTTTGGGATTTCTTTTTTTTTTTTTTTTTTTAATTTTTAGCTTTTTGCCAATACTAAGGATTGAGCCTAAGACCCCCATGCCTACTTGTCAACTGCTCTGCCAGTGAACCTCATCCCCCAGCAGTAGAAAAATGGCTCAAAGTCAGGTGACTCATGTTTGCAATCTCGACACATGGGAAGCTGGGGTGGAAGGATTGCTGTGAGTCCAAGGCCATCATTAGCTATATGGTGTGTTTCAAGCTGACCTGCCTGGGCTGCAGAATAAAAAACTGTCTCAATACCACACACATATACATACAAACATACACGCACCACACATACACACACAACTTCAAAAATTGGTAGACAGTTTTCTGCTGCACTATAGAGACCTCTGTTTTCTGTTTGTATGTGTGCACTTTAAGTCCTTGAATAGCACTCCATAACAAACACAAAAATGTACTATGCACATGATCCATTTTATTGAGTGCCTCAACTCAAAAAGAGTGGCCCTTACCACACACAAAGGATGTTGGATATATGTCCCTACTGCTATAGTATGTTAGGGGTTTTTGCACTTATAACTGGGCTTTCTCATCTGTCAGCCGCTGCTTTGTTTTCTGCTCTTACAATTTTAGATCCACCTTGAGTTCTTTTGTCCATAGCCTCTAAATGGACACTCTACTTTAGAGTACTAGTGAACCCTTTTTCCCATCTGGGAGTCTCCTAGTGGATGGTAGAAAGTGATCTGCCTTCTTTCCAGGAGGACTACCAATATTTGTACCTTTATTATAATCTCTTCCTGTCAGGACTCTACCAATCAGGGTTATTTTGTAAAGAACTATTAAAAAAAAAGTTTTTGAAAGTTTATTTTTTACATACATATGAAAATACTGTTTTATTAAATATTCCACTGGCTGAAATAATTTTGAAGTGATATGTTGCTTATATCTTTCAGGAAAAACAGTTACAGCAGCTAATGTGTAAATAACTTTAAAAGCTATTTTAGTAATTTAAATAAATTGACTTTTTGTGTTTGTACTCTGTGTTATAAACAGTGATTTACAAGCCTGTTTTTTAATTGATGCATCTTTTTTCTTTGCAAATTTTAATGACCTTGGCTAAGAGAAGCTTAGGCCAAAAAAAAAAAAAAAAAAAAAAAAAAAAGTACATTGCTTAGAAGTAGAGTGACCATAAGTTTGGTTTTTTGTTTTGTTTTGTTTTTAGTCCGTGTATTTTGAATTACCATTTAAGTGTAGTTGTGTTAGTATCTTGATTTCTCAAGGGTCCCAAATGTCTAATTGCATCCCAAAAGAGCCTTTTTAGAGTTCCTTTTCCTGTTTGCTCCCTCACCACATATTCATTGTATATCTGCTTATAGACTATATATTATTGTGGTTTATTAAAAATAGATATTTTGACACCTACCCGCCTGAAAACCAGTTTTCACCTTGACTACAGATGTGTACTCAAGAATGTCTACTCTGCCCCTTTCCAGCTGCAGTACTCTGGAGAGCAGGCCACCTCATCTTGGCAGCATAGTAGAGTTGGCCCTGGTGTCAGGGATGAGGGTGAGCCTGCCTCAAGGGTATGAGTGGAGGGTGTTGTGGATATATTCCCTTACCCCCACCCATTGCTGGCTGTAGCAGTGGGAGACCTTGCCCTGCTCCTTGCCAACTATAGCACTCAGGAGAGTGGGCCCACACCTTGCTTGAGCAGCACACTAGAGCTAGCCCTGCCCCTCACTGACTGCAACTGGCAAAGCAGGAGTACAGGAGACCTGGCGGGCTGACCAACTCGGCTACCATCCAGGCCCAGAATCAGGATGCTTTAGTTGGCCCACCTCAACATCTTCTCTATGAGCTGAAGGGGCAGTGCTGCAGCCTAGCTGTAGCACCTCCATGACACAGGGAAGCAACAGGAGTCAAGAGGAGCCCCCATGAGGATCCAGTATTGGTAGTATAACAGAAGCCAGAGCCCTGGAACCAGACCAGTGACTCATTGCAATGAACATTTGCAAAAGAGTGTACTATGTGACATACCACAGCAAGATCTTTTGTTTTTATTTCTGTTTTCTTTTGAGGGGGAAGTTATAAGGGTGGAGGGAAATGAAGATGAGTGAGATTGGGGTGCATGATATACATTTCACAAAATCAGAAAGTTTTTTAAAAGCACCCCCCTTTTTTTACATTTTATTTTATGTGAACATACACATGCCTTAGTACTTACGTTGTAGGTCTAAGTTTTGAAAGTAATTTTTACCTTGTAGGTTCTAGGGATCTAACTCAGGCTCAGGCTTGATGGCAACTGCCTTTACCTGCATCTCACCAACCCTTGCCTGTTAAAAGGTCAAGGGTGTGACACTTGCCTAGCATGCACACGGCCCTGGCTTCATCCCTAACACCTATTAAGTAAATAAGTGAAAGGAAAGTGACTTCCTGGACATTTAAGATCAGCCTGGGCTAAACAGGGTTGGGATGTGGCATTAGTAATAGAATACTTGCCAAGCATGTGGGAAGCTCTGGGTTTACTCCTGCACTGCAAAAGAAAAAGCATCTGCATGTTAGTCATGGCCTAAACTCTGCTTTCTGTTCATGTCTATGATCCTTTCAGATGAGGAAGCAAATCATCAGCATAAAAGCAGGAATTCAGGTCTCTGGAAATCGAGCACTGTGAATTTGACAATAGTAGCCCAAGAATTTTACAGTACAATATCAGTTTGACATTTTCTAGAAACTAAATCTGCTTCTCTTCTTTCAATTGCTTTCTTCACATTTTCTAAATCTCAGAATAAAATGGAAAGTAAACTGATCTTCATTCGATGAGAACAGATGAAAGTTTGCATATTTTATGTCATTGATTAATGCCGAAGCTAAAAACAGAAACCCTAGTCCCGTGTGATCTCACTAGGTGCCCTTTATGTTGGCTGTGTATCCGTGGAGTGCTCATAATGGTGACGTAAATGTGAGCCTATTCTACTGTGTCCTTACCAAGGTCACACAGTAATAACATTTTGTGAATGAGTCTATGTGGTCTTTTCCTAAGGAAGGTTTTACTGGCTGACCACAAGAACCCTGTGTGGTTAAGGATGCTCTTGCCTCGTAGGGAAAGTATAGTCTGACTTGAGCAAACACAGGGGAAACCTTGCACTCCACACTGTGGACAGGATGTTTGGCCTCCTATCTCCTGCATGTCCTTAGACTTTGGCTACTTTCTCTTTTCCTGACTTCCTTTCTCCAACCACACTGCTTGGATAAGTTTGATTTGTTTCCAAGGCCTTAGAGTTAAGTAAGATCTTCCATTATTCCCCCAATAATGGTGTTAAGTACTGTGTATGTGTGTGTGTCTGAGACCTTTATGAATACCTGTACATGTGTGTATAACTTAGAAACTTAGGAGACCCTTATGATCCTGAAAGAAGTTAGTGGTGGGAAGTGGAAAGCTCCTGGGTCATGTGGAGGCTGGAAAAAAGCCATTGTAAGTGTCAGGAGACAAGCAGTAACACCCCAATGAAAAGAAGCCATAGAAGAACACCTACGTAGCTTGCATAGGGCCTGCGTTCAATCCTCAGTACTGCAACAAACCAAATTAGCCAATTGAAGAGGACATAAAAGAGACATCCCACATTCATGGATTGAAAGAATATTGATAAAAAGTTTACACTACCCAAAGTAGTCAACAGATTCAGTGCAGTTTCTACCAAAATACTTGCACATGAAATGACTAATCGGATGGCTTAAAGGCTCGCCATGTCTGCCTGGCTGCAATGGACTGTTATTACTCCATGGCATGGCTTCTTTCTCCAATCCTGCTTCCTTTTTCTTCCTCTCACAGGTGGTGATGGAAGGGTATGCACTTATAAACATCCTGAACATCAAATTTGGGATTGGGGAGATGGCTTTGTGGGTGAAGTGTAAGCACAAGGACCTGAGTTCAGATCCCCAGCACCCATGTAGAAAAGCCCAGCCCAGTGTGCAATACCTATAAAGCCCATCGCTGGAGCAATGGGCTTCCAGGCCAGCTAGTCTAGCCAACTGGTAGGAACCAGGTTCAGTGAAAAACCTTGTCTCAAAAAATAAAGTGAAGAGTGAAGAACATACCTGGAGTTGACCTCTAGCCTCACACACTTATGCACACACATGCCTCACATGTCAAAGACAGACAGCTCTGGCAGTTTAAGAGCACTGGCTGGCTGGATTTGATTCTTATTAGCCACATAGGAGCTCACAACTGTCAGTAACTCCAGTTCTCAGGGAATCCAATGCCGCCTTCTAGTTTCCACATGCAGCTGACATACACGTGGTTTATAGACATACATGCAGGCAAACCACTTACACATACAAAATATGTGGAGGCAAAGGCAGAAGAGGAGATCTCTGTGAGTTTGGTGGCAGCCTGGTCTACACAAGTGTGTTCCAGACCAGCCAGAACTGTATAGTGAGACTAAGCTGCAGAAGAATTTGTAAAAGAAAAGGTAGCAAAAATACAAGGAACTGGGGATGGAAAGATAGCTCAGCAGTCAAGAATGTTTGCTACTATTCCAAAGGATCAGAGTTCAATTCCTAGCATCTCACACCGAGACAACAGGCCATAACTCTAACTCCAGGGCATCTGTTGCCTTTTTCTGCCTCTGGGCACCCATCCACACATGTGTGTATATGTGTACAGATGGACACACACAACATTTTTTTTTAAAGTTTATTTTTGAGACAGAGTTTCTCTGTGTAGCCCTGGCTGTTCTGGGCTTGCTTATGTAGACCAGGCTGACCTCAAACACACAGATCTGCCTGCCTCTGCCTCCCTAGTGCTGGAATTAAAGGCATGTGTCACCACCCGGCAATATCTGCTGTTCTGAAGGAGCAAAACCCAATAAATCATAGCTTATAAATCATAAACATGGAACAGATATAAATTGAAAAAAAAAATGGTGCCTGACCCATAAGATCTCTGGACTAGCTGCCGAAACCTGTAGCCGTCTAGTGTTGTACACAGTTGGCAATAAGGCCTAGGATTCTGTAAGAAGAATACCTTTTTAACGAGAGAGTCCTACTGTGATTCCAATTTCCTAATCTAAATGTACATTTCAGTACAGGACTCTTCAGAAGCTCTGCTGGGTAGTTTGAAAAAGAGGCCTATTGACTGTTCACCTTCCTTCACAGAGAGGAGCAGGAAGGGTAAAGGGACCCTCACTCCTCTCAATCAGTTGGATGTCATTCTGCCCTAATTGCTCACGGTCTTGGGGGAGGATCTACAGAATATAGGTAGGGAAGGATGGGTTGGGGGGGGGGTATCCATCTATACAGCCATGGGGAAGCCATCCTCGCTGATGAGTGCAAACCTGCTCCCATGGCTGCTTTAGGTTATCTTACTCCTACCTGTAACCTCTCACCCATTACTCGGTGAGTAAGGGGAACAAATTCTTTAGTTCTCCTGGTAAATTTTGGTAGAATTTTACCTCGGTTTCCTAAGGTAGATAGAATTTTACCTTAGGAAGAGGGGCAGGTGTTTTTTTATATTTCTTCCAGGGAAAGAATTTTAGCAACACATTTGATGATGTTTGGTTTCTCTCAATGCTGATTTTATAAAATTGTCAAAAGTTGTTATAGTGGAAAATTACTGTAAGGCCCAAAGTATTTTGTTTGCTATCTCCCCTGAAAAGGGTCTTTATCTCTTATAGTCCATGATCTGTCCAATAGATATTTCAAGCTGTATTTGAGTAGTGCAATGTTGCTTAAAAAAAAAAAAAAGTATTTACAGGGCAGGGAGAAAGCTCAGTCAGTAAAGTGCCTGCTGTGCAAACATGAGGACAGTGATTGGATCCCAGCACCCACATAAAAGGCTGACCCACACCAGGCCGTGGTGGCTCATACCTTTAATCCAGCACTTGGGAGGCAGAGGCAGGAGGATTTGCGTGAGTTTGAACCAGCCTGGTCTACAGAGTGAGTTCCAGATAGCCAAGACACAGAGAGACCCTGTCTTGAAAAACAGCAGCAACAACAAAAAAGCTGCACACACACACGCACACACACACCACACAGACG